ACGAAATGCGATTTATCAGAAATTTTCAGATATTTGTCACGTAAAAACGAACTACTAATATCAGAAATTTTCAGATAGAACGAAAATGCGAATATCAAAAATTTTCAGATAGTTGTTGCGAGAAAAAAAAAAATTCAGAGATTTGACTTAGTCCTACTTGCGTTACTAATGAGTGATCAATAGATCGCAAGCTGGCTACTTGATTGAGCGGGTCCTCTGAATGAGAGGTCCACTCCGATACCAAACTGTTGCATACTACGTGCAGACTAGAACAAGAACCGACCTTTCAATACAAAGTACAAGATAACACAACGGAAGACTTAGATACCAGTGATCCGAACAATCAATGTTGTAATGCAGCCCTGAACATACATCATCATCATCGTTACATGGTGTGAATGGGTCTGGCGCTTCACACAGGAAGATAGCGCCAGCCCATACCATACACAGACGAAGAGGAAGGGGATAGACGAAGAGGAGGGGGAAGATGGGAATGTCGTTAACACCAAGTCTTCAGCACAGGCCCAAATAGTCCCTCGTCGAAATGTCTGAATCCCAAATGTCAAGTCTGGATCCAATGTCGTCAAGTCTCAAGTCACAACTCTGTCTCTCTCTGTCATAGTCTGAGAAGTCAGGTGGCGAGAGGGTGAGAAGAGAAGGTGGACTTAGAAGAGGAAGAAGAAGAACTCTCTCTCTCTCTCTCTCTCTGTGTCCAGTACTAACCTGTGAAGTTGGCGCCTTGATGCATGTACCACGAAGATGGAGCTGGAGCGATGGCGCCACAGGTAAGTAACACTGGCCTCCGCCAGTCTCTCTCCCACTCTACGATCTACCACCTACCAGCGCCCAGCGCTGAAGACTACAGCTACAGCTATGGCGCCCAGCGCCGAAGACTACAGCTAGCGCTACTACTACTTAGCGCTGGAGACTACTGCAGCGCTCCTCCTGAGTGYTGCGGCCGAATCCTGAAGACTACCTCGTGCCTACTGACTACCTACCCGTGAAGTGCATGGGAACTTCCTATGTACTACGGGTGTGCCTCCTGAGCCTG